GGGGGGGGGGGCGGTTGGGGGAGACGCGGGAGGGGACCCTGAGGCCTGGGTCCGAAAAAGCCTACCTGCCCTCCCCCCACTTGGTCTATTTACACGAATAAATGCAGAGGAGGGGGGAGGGGAAGCTTTATTTATAGAAATGACAATATGGAGCCGGGCGAGGCCCCCCAGAAGCAAGGTTCAAGTCTCTTGCTTTCTTCCTTAAAAAAAAGAAGAAGGAAGAAAGAAAAAGAAAGAGAAATAGGAGGAGGCTGCACTCCTCATTTTCAGCTTTGGTGAAGATGGATCCACGTTTCATCTTTAATCACGCCAGGCCCAGGCCCATCTGTCTTGTTTACTCTGCCGAGGAGAGGACGGGCCTCGGTGGCGACCATTACCTCGACACCCCGCTAACAAATGAGGCCCGGCTCGGCCGCCGCCGCCGCCGCCTCTGCTGCTGCCGCTGCTGGAAGACAGTCTGGATATTTTTTCTTTGTCCCCCATTCCTGAAACCCAGCGAAGGCATCCTCTGACTGCCAGATAGCGCAGTGTTTTGGCCACGGTAACAAACACACGCACACAACCTCTCTCCCCCTCCGTGCCCGTTCACGGGGACGCTGGCGGCTCACCCCCTTCCACTGCGGGGCTGGGGTAGGGACCACAGGAAGGGGACAAGTGGAGGCGGGCGGGGGCATGCGTGCCTCGGCTACGCAGGAGCAGGGCAGGGAAATTGAGTCCAAGAGAAAGAGAGGACCCAGAGACCAGGAGGGCCTTCCTCTGGAAGGTCAAGCCGTGTCTGCAGGGGTGAGGGGCCAGTTGCGTTCTGGGAGCTGGGCACAACCCTCTGTCCAATCTGGAGTTGTACAGTGGAGGCCTGTTCTAGACTGAAAGTGAATGTGAAACTAGGAAATAAAATGCCCTTTCCACCTGGGAGATGAGGTTACAGAGACCTCTCCCATAGTTTATCATTGTTGCATTGATTATTATTATTATTATTATTAATTATTTTATGTCATGTGCGTCCTCTCTCCTATGCTCTTTCTGACATTCCAAACCAGGACCCTTCTTAGTTCTGGGGCTGCCTGAGTCTAGAACCCTTTGTTGGCGTGAAAATGTGTGTCCTGTACAGAGTGACAATAGAAATAAATGTTCGGTTTCTCGTGACCAGCACGGCGTGTTTTTGTTGAAACCTTGATGTAAAGATGCAGATAAATGCCTCCCAGAGTATATTTTAGGCACCCCAGTCCATTCGACTGCACATTTATGTGATTGAGGAATTTTTTCAAAGGATCTGATGGGAATTTGTATCTCAGAGGACTCCAAATTGTGGTGGCTGGTTTGTTTTCCTTTTGGGGTGGGTGTGTTTTGTTTGGGGCTTTTAATTTTTCCCCTCTAGTCCAAAAATGGATTGAAAGGACTGGGAGGGCTGACTTCAATCCCTAATGGGGGGAAAATGTTTCATTGTAGAACACAAGAGGCTTAAGTATGACAAAGGCTTTCATATAGTGATTTATTTGTCATAAGCAAATAAAATGCGGTTAAAGCTGTCTCCTTCTAGACAGACGGCTCTTTGCTTATTAAAGTTCCGAGAGAGGATTCTGAGCGGCCGGCCTCTTTCCTCCCGCGTAAGAAGGTATCGTTTTCCTCTGAGGTGTTTAAGGCTTTAATGAGTCTAATTTTTTGCACAGATGTTTCTGGGTGTTTTCAGGTTTTCAGAGTATTTTTATATTACAAAGGAGCTAGCCAGTGCCATAGCTCAAACTCTGACAAGCAAATAGATAATCAAGAAGACAAATGGCCTCTTTTGTGAAGCCCTGCTCCTGTATTAATTTTCATTTTCTTTCTCATAGAAAGTATCGAAAGTATGACTGGGGACCAAATAGCTTTCTGTCTCTGAGGTCCCAGTCACCCCTAGAATGGAGTGGGGGAAGGGAGGGGTGCAGGTGACCCTCAGAAACGCTGTAAGGCTTGGGCCGCTTTGGGCCTGAGCCCAAGAGAAGTTCTAAGGTCTGGGGGCTCCGGCCTCGGGGCTCTGGTCCGGTGGTGGCTCCGGGTACAGCCATCTCGCCTCCCTCCCACAAGCTCAGGGCTCGGGAGAGCAGATGCATTTAAAAGTCGTTTTTCGGTCCCATCTCCCTTCAGAAAATAAATATAACCAATCCCACCAGCGCGTTTTACTGTTATTTCTTTTGCATTCTTCCGGTGTGCAGCTCCCGGGCGTCTGAGGCTGGGTAGGGCCCGGGAGAGACTGGGCCGGGGTCCACCGCGCGGGAAGGGGCGTTTGAACCGCTTTCAATGCTGCGGGGAGACTCGTAGCAAATCGCCCGGACCTGGAGGTTGAGAGTGGCGAGCTTTGTTTTCGGTGGAATCGCGGTGTGATGTTTAGCTGCCAAGGGATGCGGCGGCCCTTCCCTTCTAGAGGGGAAAATAGTTCTTAAAAAGCATATGCCCCCCCCATGTCTCTATAGAACCAAATCAAAGCTGCTCTTAGGAAGGTATGAATAGAATAAAAAAGATTTCTATGGAGCTTAAAGTTCACAGCCATTCTGTGTAGACAAGAGCTAAGAAAAATGTGAGAATTATACAGAAAACCATTAATCACTTCTTTAAATACGTATCCTCTCTCCTTTGTTATTATTCAACAGCAAATCTCCGCAGACCGGCTGTTGGGGGAAAAAAGTGTTAGCCGCCACTCCCGGATCTGCAAGGGGAAAAAATTTGGAACCATAAAGCTGAAAACTTTTTTCTCTCAGTTTGGAAGAAGCCGTTCGTCATGAATGGGATCCGCGGAGTTCAGGCGAGAGGAGGCGAGAGGCTCAAAGGTAACAAAGCCCCCGCCTGGGCTGGCTTTTTTTTTTTTTTTTTAATCGTTTTATGAGCTCGTTTTACTCGGGAAAGAAGAAACGCTCTCTCGCCTCCTTCTTTTTCTTTTTCAACTATCTTTGCGGGGTTTTTATGGTGGACGGTTGGTCAGGTTTGATGCCTTTTATGATGACAGATGCTTGGGTCAGGGACTGACACCTGGAGAGTGTTTGAATTGATTGGGACTGAGGTGTTAGGCACCAGAAAAACCCCAGAAAAGGTTGTTTATGAGGCAGCTCAGAAGCGCTTTCTGGTTTTAGAAAATGCAGGAGGGCCTTGGGAGCCCCAGCATGTGTGTGTGTGTTTGTGTGTGTGTGTGTGTGTGTGTGTGTGTGTGTGTGTGTGTGTAGTGAGGTGAGGTGCACATGTGGCCTGTGGGTTCCGTGACTCTGCTTGTCTACACTGGGGGCTGGTGTCCTACAGGTCTGTTTACCAGTGAGCAGTTGTCACTGCCACCTCCTGGAAAAATGGAATGCAATTTTGGGATGGAATGCCCCAACCTCAGAGCGGGGTATAGGTGGATGTCTTCAGTTTTTCTTTTTGTGTCTAGGTTGGGATTCTAGACAAATATTTGCAACTCTCTGGAGCAGGAAACTGTTTTGTTCACAGGCAAGGTTCGTTGATGCCGGAATCTTCCTCTTCTTCCACTCTGCTCCCTTCCTTCTTCCTGGAGGCTCAGAGTTTAGTTTGGTTTCCTTTTGGTCTCTTGGTCTGGGGGCTCTGTTCTCCCCTCTGGGGCCCCGCTTCTGAAGGTGAGGGAGCCAGTGGGCTCTGCCTCAGACCAGAATGTGCTGGCCTTTTTTCCCTGGGGCTCACTGAGGCTTTGGAAGTAGGAGGCTGGCAGGAGAGAGAGTTCATGGAGAGGCCACGTTTTCTAGGCGATTAGCTCAGTATTAGAACCACAAAATGACCTCGGAAGCCCCTTGACCTCTCTGAGACTGGACATTGTGTTGGCTCTTGCCTCCTGCCCAGAAGGGAAAGTCACACCTCCGCAGGGAGGGGTCCTTGGGCTGTTGTATGTCCCATCTTCTCCACCCTCCACCAGCCCCCCCCAACCCCGTCATTGCTATCTTGAAATTTCTGGATTGTTTTTCTGTTACCGTCTCTCTCTGCAGAGCTCCTTCCCTCAGGCAGACTCACCCTGCCATCCATATCCAGTTCATCCCTCCTTTCCTGTTTCCTTGGAGGGAGCTGAGGGAAGAAAGACAAAGGGAGGCAGATATGAGCGGTCCAGGGGCTTCAGAGGGCTAGGGGGACAAACGCCTGGGTCCTAAGGAGACACAGGGCCCCCACTGTGGTTACTGTCTCTCGAGGTCTGTTATCCAAAATCCACAAAATCTTAACCCATTTTCTGAAGTCCCTTTGTTTAGGAAGCTATTTCTATAATCACTCTACCCCCTTCTCCACTCCCCAATCCCACCCCAGCTACTCACAGAGCCCACGGAGTACCTCCCCACCAGAGGAGCAAGAGAGATGGGAGAAGGGTCAGTGCAGGCTGTTCTGACCATTGCCAGGGACAGCTGTGCCATGTTAACCAAAGTTTCCAGCAACTTTCAAGAGATGTGTGGAGGATTTGCTAAGAAGTGAACTCTGAACACAGAGCCTTTTCAAATCTATATTCTACTTGCTGTATCTTAAAAATCTACACCAGCAGCCATCCTCTTAGGAGGGGATAGAGACAAAGAGAGAGACAGACACACAGACAGACAGACTCCAGCTGGGAAGAAGGAAGTGTTCCTTTGAGTTAAGACTAGGAGAGAAAGAAACTTGCTGGGATGTATGTGGGGTGTTGGTTTGCGTTTTGTAAATTGTCTCCTATGTCTTGGGGACTGTCTCAGGCGAGAAATAACTGCTGTTGATTGGTATCCTCTCCTTTGTCCCTGGGAGGTTTAATAAATGCAGGAGCTGGTAGGCCTTGGTAAGAAAAGGGAGCAAGCAGAAAGCAAGCTGGGCTGCTCCTGGGATGAAAATCTTTGGGGCAATATACACCCATAATTCATAAGGGCAGATGACCAGTTGTGAGTC